GAAGGGAAGGGAAGGGAAGGGAAGGGAAGGGAAGGGAAGGGAAGGGAAGGGAAGGGAAGGGAAGGGAAGGGAAGGGAAGGGAAGGGAAGGGAAGGGGCCCATGCTGCTCTCCAAAAGGCAATGTGATGATGACTAATGGTAGCAGGAAGCAGCAGGAGCAGGATTAGATAGAAATTAGGATGATCTTTTACAGTCTCATTTTAAGAGATTTTTTACCTCACCTACAAAGCAAATTTTCAATTTTAAGGCTGTGTACAACAGGTGCCATTCTCTTTTGTACTGCTGTTGCTTTTGGAAATCGTGGCAATTACACTGGTAACTCTGGAAGCTGTGTCTTCAGCTCTAAAACACAGTAGCATCTCTAGTCCGCAGTCTGAGGTATTGGGAAAATTGCTCTATTTTAAAACCCATTTTTTGGAATTTAGAAGGAGTTTTGGATTTGATCTCTGCTGTCTGGTTTAGACCAACAGACTGTGTCTGTTCCACACCTAACTAATGAGTACAGACCTTACTGCCTGCATGAAACTATATCAAGAAATATCACAACATGCAAAAATCTGTTAAACATTACTAAGTGTCTAAACGTAAAAACCTGCTCTCCTTACAGGCAGTTATTTCTAAGGAAAAATATATGGTGGGTCTATTTGTTTCCCCTCCAGAACAAGTTTTTTCCTACCTGGAAAAACAAACAAAACAGGGAAACACACAGGACAGCACTTTTAACAGCTAATTAAGGCTGTCTGTGTCTAAAGGTGGCAATCTTTTGTTGTGATTTAGGTACAGGTCACAAGATCTTCTTGAATCAGCTTCTAAACATGACAAAAAAATGAAATGAACAGTAAATCTTTTGAACCACAGTAGTTATTTCCTCAGCAGATTCACAGAGCTAACATTAGAGCCTACCGTGTCATCTGCCAACACCTGAATTTGACCCAGTCATTGAAGCTGATCCTGTGACAAGGTCTGAAAGCTGATACACTGAAAAACTATTGAGCATTTATGATAGATTCTGGTATTTCAGAGCAGACTCCCAGGTGATGAATTATATTCTTAATAAGCAGACATGACAAGTCAAATTTAGAAGTAGAATTTGAACTAGTTGCCAAGTTTTTAACTGAAGGGCATTTCTTCCTTTTATTTTTTGATTTTAAACCATGCGCATCTAGACACAAGAAATGTGTGAACTTACCTTCAAAATACCTCAAATATTAACCATATGAATTATACATATGCCTTTTTGTGAATTTTAAAAGATTATTTCTTGCATAAAACTAACATAATTCAATTTATTGCTTGAGAGTCACCTGTGGATTGCACTATCAGAATTATTCAATAGGTTTATGCCTGTCAGAATTTTATATTACCTCCATTATTCACTAACAATAAAAAAAAAGCGCATCATTTTAAATGAATGCTTAAACATGGGTGTTTTCTTGTCACTTCACTGGCTTGTCTTCTGTGCAATTCTAGTCCTTACTTTTCCACCTCAGAATTATTAAGGTGTCATATGCACAAATGATAAGTTTAGCTGCATCATCTGATAGAAGGTTAATCTTGCATAGGGAAAAAGCAAAGCATGTCTGGATGGCCAAAGATGTGATTATGTGTTCTGAAGTCTGATAAATATTGTATCATGCCACAATTTAAGATGCTCAAAGGCTTCACAACCTTAATTACATTTTAATCATGGCAACTCTGTTCAATTAAGTACTTTGGCTTCTTCAAAAATAAAGCACTTCAGTCTTTGAAAAAATATTATGGTACATCTCGCCTGCAGGGCTGCTGCCCCTATTTTCTTCAGGGGTGGTTCTGGGTGCTGAGAAATGCAAACCTAAGCCTTTAGCATTGGGAGAAAAACAGCGTAATTGAAAATACAATCAAGACTATAACAAGAGGAAATAAGATGGCAAACAGTAAAATAACAGAAGAGAGAGGTTTCTTGAAAATGGGCAGTCTCTTCAGCTGGAATGTTCTGCAGAGCCAGTAGCACTGAGTGCTTCCTGAAGTGCATTCCTGAAGTGGGAACCTCACTGGAAGTTGATCCTTAGCTAATACCATGAACATGACTGTTGAAAAGCAACTTTTCTTTATAGTTCTTTCTGAGCATCTTTCAAACTCTGTTCTACCTCCTTGCTAAAAGAAATTAATGATTTGACTAGGCACTTCAAATTCAATCTACCAAAGCACTTAGAGGCATACCTATGTCTTCTGAAACTTTTAACACTTCCATTGCCTTTGGTGAAACTTCTCATATTATTTAGTCACAGGCACAACTTTAGCCATTTTTCTTTCTTTGCATTTATGTCTGTGGCATAGTTTTTTTACCTCTCCAGTGGGTTGATGATACTTCAGCATTTTATTATGTTTTTTAGCTCAGTTTCCTTACTCATAGGTTCACAGATAACTTGTGTATTTCAGTCACTTCCAGAAGACCATTCATTATTTTAACAAATACCTCAAGTCAGAGATAAAATTAATTACTCACCTGTGCTTTGAAAAGAAAAATATATTTTCAGAAAATAAAAAGCAGAATTAAAATTATCTGGTGAACATAAAGTCTAGGGCAGAAAGCTTTATTTTCACTTTAAGGAGCCCCTGCAAACAAAATAATTGTGTTTGTCCAGAAGCACAACTTGTGCAGGAATTGTTAGTGAAATTATCTTTGCTCCTCATGTGTGAGAAGTCAGGCCTAGCTGATCAAAACACTCCCTGGTGGCCTTAAAAGTCTCTGATGAATTTTGAAGCATCAGATCAATGATATGTTATCTTTGTTTCAAAAGACCAATCCTCTGTGATCATTACTGCTGTGCTAGCTGATCATTTTAAATTAACATAACACAAAACAATTTCACAAAATCAATTCATATTCTTCTCTCCAGAGTTTTAATTTTAAATATGGGGAAAGTGGAGTCAGAAAATGGGTCTGTGCAGGAATATGTTGCATTACATTTCCCAGACAACAACTCTGTTGTGGGTTGACCATGCCTGGAGACCAGGACACTCCTTCACACTAAAGTCACTCCTCACCTGGACAGGGGAAAGGAAATATAACTAAAAGTTGATGGATTGGGGTAAGGACAGGGAAAAATCACAAATTGATTACTCTCATGGGCAAAACAGAGTCGACCTGGGGAAACAAGTTTGATTTATTGCAAATCAAAGCAAAGTAGGATAATGAGAAAGAAAACCTAAATCTTAAAACATGTTCCACACACCCCTTCCTTGTTTCCAGGCTCACCTTCACTCCAGCAATGCAGGGGGACAAGAAATGGAGTCTGAAATCAGTTTATGTCATCTCTGCCATACCATCCTCCTCAGAGGGAGGAATCCTCACACTCCCTGTTCCAGCGTGGGGTCCCTTCCATTGGAGACAGTCCTCCATAGTCTTCTCCAATGTGAGTCCTTTCCATGGGCTGCAGTTCTTCACAAACTGTTCCAGTGTGGGTCCTTCCCATGGGCTAAAGTCCTTCAGGAACCTGCTGCCCCAACATGAGGCCCCTGTAGAGTCACGAGTCCTGCCAAAAAACCAACTCCAGCATGGGCTTCTCTCTCCGCAGCATCACAGGTCCCTGACAGGAGCCTGCTCCAGTTTGGGCCTCCCATGGAGCTTGCAGCTTCCTCCTGGCATCTTCCTGCTCCAGAGTGGATCCTCCCCAGGCTGTGGGTGGATCTCTGCTCCCCTGTGCCCTCCCTGGGCTGCAGGGGCACGGCAGCCTCACCTCGGGCTCAGCAGGGGCTGCAGGGGGGTCTCAGCTCCGGTGCCTGGAGCAGCTCCTGCCCCTCCTTCCTCACTGACCTCGGTGCTTACAGAGTTTCTTCTCTCACATATTCTCTCTCCTCTCTAGCTGTTGCTGTACACATTTTTTCCCCCTTCTTAAATATGTTATCCCCAAGGCACAATCACTGTCATTGGTCAGTGGTGGGTCCATCCTGGAGCCACCTGGAATTGGCTCTGCTGGACACGAGGAAGCTTCCAGCAGCTTCTCACAGCAGCCATCCCTGTAGCCCTCCTGCTATCAGAACCTGGCCAACCCAATGCACCCTCCATTATCTCGTGGTGCTTTTCAAATAAATGATTTCATGTAACTCACAACTTCGGAAGAGATTTGAAGGTTATTGCCTTCCATTCATTTCCAAGTAGATTGGATACTAAAAATAAAAAGTAATGACTCAGAGCTTACCTTTCCTGAATCTGGAGCTGAAATGGTAAATATTTAATGATGGAAAGAAACTCTTTCCCAAAGTTTTGTTCTTCTTTGTCCTTCCCTGTAATAAAAAGCAGAATTAATTTCTGAGCACATAGCTGTCCAGGTACCACAGTCATGGATTATCATGTTCCCATAGTATAGATACACAATCCCCATCCTGCAAAAACCTGTGAGGATAAAAATAGCCCCAGTAAAGACAGGGAGAAAATAATCAAAGAGCTACTGTTCACTGTGGGAAAAAAAAATCACCCAGATATACAATCTTTCCTTTCCTTTCGTGCAATGCAATGGCTAAAGGAACTGAAAAAGCCTGTTACCATATACTTTACTGTCTTGATATCACTGGAACATCTACAAACAAAATATATGTATTATGCAGATTACAGTAGCTATTTTTAAAAATACATCTAACACATATATATGAAATTACCATTCATGTACTTGGGAGCAGAGGGCACAGTGCAGCATTTGTCCTGTAGCCTGCCTATCAAAAAAGGAAAAAGGCAAAGGCATAAGGCTGACAGTCCTTGTGCTTTCCTTGCAAGGTCTGAATAGCTGAATATAATTTGTTTCTAATTCTCATTGTTAAAAGACATTTACTTAGAAGAAAAACCTATTAGGAGGAAACGGATGATGCTTTGTGCATAACCAAGTGAACAAAGGAATCTTTTTACCAGGATCCATCATCTCAAGGAGACGCTGCAGCTCCTTTGGAAAATTTCTCTCAGAATAGCACAATATCTTTGGCTCAAGGTAAGAGATAAATAAGGGTGTGCCAGCAGGGAGAAGTGTGAATAGGGAGTACAAGGATAAAATTGCCAAGCTGGATATTTCAGCTCCCTCTCCAATCATCTTCCCACACTGTCAGATCCACACAGGCTTCTGCTCAGATCCTTGGTCTCTGAATGATTTCAAAGACACTTTTTTTTTTGCCCTAAGATGGGAAAATAATATTTTGGAGGAAGTAGCTGGCATAGATACAGCAAGTCTCCGCAAATCTTTATTGATCCTAACAGCTCCCTGCCAAAAGCAAATGCACAAACCGTAGGCACCACCAGTTGAAAGGAGTTCTAAAAACGAATTACACGTAGGAAATAACAAGGGAGTTCTCTGGGCCTCACCACTCCATGAGGAGATAACGTCAGCTAGGTTGGGGATAATCTCAATTCAACAGCCCCTGGGGCTCAGATTGCCTGCCCTGGCTCCTAGCTGGCCTTCCCATGGCAGGGAAAGGTGCTCAGACAGCTCAGCACGTGCCCACGGCTCAGGAGACGAGGGTGCCCAGCGTGGGTTAATCCAGCCTGCACAGCTCAGCAGAGTCATACAAACCAAACTGTACCCTGGAAATCCTCCACTCACACATAAACTGATTTTCCCTTTTGCTCCATCACTGCTGTAAGAAGATATTGCCATTGTCCTTTTGCTCTGCCAAGCAGAAGGAAGATTTTCCTGCTAGTAGCATGAAGATAGAGATTCCTGCCTTTCAAGAAGCAGCTAACAGAGTGCATCACTAGTAAAAAGACACAAAAGTGTGTACAGAGCCACCATGGGCTGAGTGAAGCTGTCTGACAGCTGAAGGCATCCTGAAGGTCAGTATGGTGCAAAACTCACTTTGGCCTCTGGTGTGATAACCAGAGCTAGCTAATGATCAGCTCCTGAAGCTGAATTGCCAGAGTAATCTACTTTAAAGGTATTTTAAAAACATCTGCACTCACCTGCAGGTCACATATCATAGAGGTATGTTATGGATGGTGTCTTCAGATTTTGATTTTTTTTGTCCTCAAGTATACTACAACTGGAATTGTAATGGTTTTCTGTGGTTCAGATATGTTCTAAAAGGTAAGCTTACATCAAAAAATAGGTTTTAGTTTAAGTTCTACAATAGATATAAAAAAAACCCATGAAGTTCTCAAAGAGATCTGGATTTCCTTAAAATCACAAATGATTGAATGTTTTTGAGATTATTTCTAGTTCAAATCTAGGGGTATTTCCTAGAAAATTCTTCTACCTGACAGTAACTAGGACTACAATTTTTCCTTACATTTGCTTTCCAAATTCTGTCAAGGTGAAACAAACATGAATGTTTATCTCTTCATAAAGAGATAAAATGTATTTTCTTTTTCCTAACAAATGCATTTGCACCATGAGACTCAGGATGCTTTGGGAAGGCTGAGAGGATGAACGCTGCAATTTTTAATTAACTGGCTGGTTTACCAAGGCAAGGTAGGAAAACAAGATGCTAACATGCTTTTCTTTTCTAACATATATTTCTCTGCATTTGAGGGAGGGCAAGAGGAAGCTTGGAGAGTGCTAGAAAGACCCAAGAGGAGCAATCTTAATGGAACACTTATAGCTTAATTTTACCCATAAAGTGATGCTAGCCTAGGTTATGTCTGTTGGATCTGTATTCCTTGGCTAGGAATCTAATATCTAATTTCTTTAATCTCTCCCAAGGCAGAGTAATGATGTTACCAAACCCTTCCAAACCTTGCGAGCTACTCACAACAATATTGTTACTGTTATTACTTTTACTCTTCCTTACAAAAAATGGGTGATTTGGGAGTCCAGGCACGAAAGCCAAAGTGTCAGAGATGCTCAGGGGTGCTGCTGTTTCCTTCTGTAGGCTCTACAGCCACTGCTTGAGCTGAAGAGAAGACTGGTTTTTGTATTCCCAGATGGAAAAATTTCAGTTGTGCTAATTAAATAGTGTTCATGGCTCCAGGTTATGTCAAGTCATATATCACTCACAGTCTATTGCTGATTGTTTTTATTGTTTAGCTGCTCAAATCTGCGTGACCAAGACAGATACAACACCTTTTGGAAGATCCTTTTGCAACACCAGTCAGACTTACAACTTCATGGGAGTAATACTGAGCCTCATTACATCCTTGGGCAAAATCAGAGCAAAAGGTTGAAATTATTTTATGAAATTGTACAGCAGAAAGGAACCAATCTCTCCCAGCAGCCTCCCCCTTGCCTTGTCTCCTGGACCAACTTGAGGACAAGCTGGGTGGCTATGGGCTTGCTAAAGTGCATTTGTTTGCATTGTCTTGTCAGGAATTTAATTTCACAACATGACATGCTATCAACACAAGCATGTCATTGCAATTTAACATGCATTTTGTTGGCATAGTCTATATCTCATTAAAGTCTCATCTCCTTAGCCAATACCATATGCTACTCATCTGTAGCAAAGTTCTTAAATGCAATGAAAAAGGTATAACTGCAATTGAGAAATGAACTGTTGACCAGCACCCTACAGATATCCCAATTCTACCACACCACTGAAAGCAACAGTATTGCAAGAGCAAACCTCTAACATCATTGCCTTACAGGAAAAAAGTATTGGGCTTAGAGATGCTCCTCAGTCATTCCAGTGTCATTACAGGATTCTCAGACCACCAGACAGACCTGTGTCAATGTGTAGGGCGAAGATCAATTTATAACTTTGTTTGTTTTTTTTTTTTTTTTTTTTTTAAAAAAAAAAGTTTTTCCTTTTTTTTTTTTTTTTTTTCCAAAAACAAAAATTAAAGTTAAGATATTCTGAAAGCAGTTTGAGACAATTAAGTCACTTTTTAGACATGTTAATAGGTTTTCCTTCTGCATTTTTTTGCTTTCAAGTGACAATAACAATTTTAGTTGCTCTTCTGACAATGGGTAAGCACAGAGATAGTTTTTAAAAATAGATATTTTTAAGGGACTAATATATTAGTAATTGGAAGTTTATTTAGTCATAAATTTTAACTAGTCATAAACCATAAATGAAAGAGCTAGTGGTGATAGAGATTAATCAGGTTCTGTCCTCAGACATGTGAAGATAATTATGACAAATTAATGTGAAAAGCAACTGGATTAGGTAACAAACCAAGTTTAGAGACAAAAGCAGAAGGACAGGCTACTCAGAATGACTGCTGACAATGTAAATGTCTGTCACTTTGCTGTCAGGAGCACTCACCTGCCCCAGGAACTGGTTTGATCCTGTGCTGGCTACAGCCACCCAACCCAAAAGGCAAATCTTTTCAGGTCACTGTCAGTGGGAGTTCCAATTAAACAAAGGCAACTTTTACCCCTTCAGTATTAAAAACATCTCCTTGAAACCATGTATCTTGATTACAGTGCACCACTAATTAAATCTAAATTAAATTTTACAAAGCAGATTGCCAGGGCCTAATTTTTCGACTGTGATAAATCCAGTTTCCTGATGCTGACTACATGTTCACTAAAGACAAAAATCCACTGAAGAACAAATAATTTTGACCTTTCTTGGTATGTTAGGTTACACCACAAGAATTGAGCTGGTAGCTTTCTTTGGATAGGCAATATAATGTACATTTATATTTAGGCTGACATTTTAATTGTACATACTACAAATTATGTTTGGAGCTGAATCAGAGTCCTTAAGATTAAAAAATAGCCACATATTCAAAATTAAACTTTTATATGTTTCTTTGGTGGCAGTTTCTTTTAAACACTTCATTTTCCTACATCTTCTGTCAAAGCTCTATAAATGTGCTAATAGTTGCTTTATTAATGGTTGCCTTGGTCTCACTGAAGTTTTTTCTTTCTTGTTGTTAGTATAATCTATCTTTTTCATGCCTTCTGTCTGGAAAAAACAGAATTAGATGGACCTTTATAAAAGAGCACAACTTAATGTTAAGTTTTAATTAAGCAGTCTTTTTCATTCATTATTTTTTATCCTAAGAGGCTCTAAATCATAGCCTGTTTCTGGCTGAATATACATAGATTACTGCCTTATCTTTATATTTATCTATTCACTTTGAACAAACTTGGATGAAGCTTAAAAAGTTTTTGAGGATCCCATATAAATTATTTCTCATATGCTCCTTTTTTGTAAACACTGAATGAATAAAGTCATTTTTCCAGACAAACCCTGTAAAAACTGATTACCATTTCATTAATCATTGACAACAAATTAGTATTGTGAAGACAAAATGACTGCACTCTTATGAAAATATCACTTTCTCTATAAAATTTGGAAGATGACAGATGATTTTACGTGCCTTAGTTTCTGAATGCCCAGCTTAAAGATGAAAGGTGCAGAACACCAGCTGGAAAACAAAGTTCTCTAGATGTAGTCAATGGATGGGTCTAATTTGTGCAGTGTGGTGCTGGGGAGTGTGGTGATGCTTGCAGTTCCTGCCACAATAAAAGGTCACTTCCCTGGCTTTGCTTATAATTATCAGTCTTCCTTACAGTCTGCCTAAAGCATCTGCCTGTGCTTTGTTCAGGCTGTCAGCTACTCTGAAATCTTTAAGCAATCTTGACTATTAATAATTAGTATTTATTCTAGATTTATTATATAAAATTATTAAGAAATTTCTATTCCAGATGTCTACACAAAGCTATTTTCTATGAATGATGCTCCCTGGGGAAAAAAAAAAAAAAAAAAAAAGGAGTGAATTAATACTATGCATCTTTTATAAATAATAAGAAATTGATTCTTAAATAAAAATGCTTACATCTGCCTCTTGCTCCAGATGGTGCAATTTAGCTGCCTATGCTGGTTTTGGTTTTAAACAAATACTTAATCCACCAATTGTCATATCAAGAATTCTCCATTTCTCACAGCTGAAGCCTAAACTGCATTGCTGCTTTAATTCTCAGAACAGGGAGTTTCCTGTCTCACAGGTCAAAAGTACAAGGAAAAAAAAATATTTTTAATATTTCAGTGCAGCAGCAACACTTGTAAAATTGCCTGGTACTGTACCCTCCTGTTACTAGCAAAAAATTAAAGCAGCAAACTTAATCCAAAACTCCCACAAGGTCCAACAGTAAGTAGGCAGTAGGGCAGACGTGAAGCAACTTTTTTTTCTCCTTTTCTTCCACATCATCTGATCACTGAGTTTACATTTCTGTTCCAGCCCCTGGGATTATCAATTCCACCTTACAGCAAATCCTTCAACACAGCAATGCTGTGTCCTTGCCCTAAAATCTGCCCAGGAGGAGGCAGTGAGCAGGAGCAGCTCTCTGCCAAGGACAGCCAGGTGCTGGATGCTGTTTTCCTAGGAGAACCACAGTGGAGTGGCACAGCTCCTCCTGGGGAAACCAGAAAAACCCCAGTGTGTATGGGATGTCCTGTAGGAATATAAAAAGCACAGTATGTATGGTTTGACAAGGTCCTAGCAAAGTTATGGCCCAGATCCACCAAATGAGGAGAGTTTGTAGAGAACTTTGGATGAGATTCATCTAAGCAGAGACATCCCTCTACTATGCCATGCTGTGGCAGCAATTTGTGCCTTGAAGCTTTGCTGCCAAATATCATATTTTGAAATGATACTAAATTCTAAAAAGTTGTAGAGTTATTCCATTTTGATTTTTTAGAATCATACTCTTACAATACCAAATTCTTAGACTGATTTAAAAACTTCCAGTTGATTTGAGAATTTCACAATAAAATCAATGTGTAGTTTGAGTGAACTCATTACTACCTAGATTAATAAAAGAGTAAGTGAATGTTTTTCCAATTATTAAGTCTAAAAAGTGATTGAAAATTTCTGGTTTAAGAAGCCTGGGGGAAAAATATTACAACTTCATTCTACTAGTTAAATGAAAAACTTGAATCTACTTCACTAAATGTTACTCATGGAGTAATTTTGGAGCCATAAATAATTAGAAAGGTAAAATTTAAATGAAGATAATTTTTAATTCATTATTTCTTTGTAAGTTTCTTTACTATTGTTGACAATTTGAGGTTTTTTGTAATTGGTTTCCATCTCATTTCTTCTTTTTTTTTAGTTTTTTGTAATTGGTTTCCATCTGATTTCTTCTTTTTTTTTAGTTAAGAAAAACACTTGGAATAACTTAGCATGATTTGATTTACTTCTTATTTAGCTAAACTGATGTGTACTTTTGTTATGAACCTTTCTCCAAAGATAAAAATGTCTTTGTTCTCATTTGTCCAGGAGAAATTGTGAGTGTGGTAGATACAGCTACATAATCTTGAGGGTGTGTGCTGAGTGTCCAGAATTTTTAACCCTAGTGGACGTGTGATCTGATTTTAGCTGCAGCTACTGGCAGAGCTGTTTCAAACAGGAGCAGTCCCATGATCCCTAAATATATGCAAATAAAAGCCATAGCACTGTAGGCAGCCAGCAAGCAGGAGATTTGGGATCACATTTTAGACTTAGGTTAATTCTAAGTAATTTTTCTACAGATAACACATCTAACCAAAACTACTGAAATGCCTTAAAGGAAATTCAGTAACTCCTTGGGCTGATTGCCAGATGAGAACCAGTCCTGTTTAGCAGCTCCATGTTTAAATGAGTAGTGAAATATAAGAGATACTTTAGGAAAATGTTCCTGGCCACCTTGTGGCTATGGGTATCATTTTTCCACCTTTTACAGGTGCTTTTTAAAACAGAACTAGCACCTCTGTGGGTGTGAAATGGCAGGAAAGAGCACCCCTCGTCAGCTCAGAGGCACCTGCCCACCGCACAGGAGCCCTTCTTGGAAAAGGGCCTGGGTCTGCCTAAGCACCAAGTCCCAGCTCACACTGGAGCTGCTGCCAGAATTCTTTGCTGTGGGCATCGTTTTAACTTCCTGACACTGACAGACACCTGTGCCTCTTTGCCTGGGATAATGAACTCAGAATGCCTAAAGTCGATAGCCTTTGCAAAACCAGCTTAAATTAAAATCGTTCTCTCCCCAGGCTTTCCGTACAGCTTACAAAGAAATGTTGCTGTCTCTCTGTGAGATTGAGTTGTCATATGAACAAAACAGAGCTACACTTAGCAAAGAACTGCCCTGCTTGGTTCAGGATGTTCATGCAACATCAAGCTATCACCATTTTGTTGATATACAGTTTTTATAGATCTACTAAGCTATTGCTAAGCTGTCAGTTCTGACTGTTTCCTTTAACGATCAAAGATCTGTGACTGAAAATTACAAGGTTTTTAACTCTCCATTTCCCAACAGACTTTGACAGTGGGTCCCCACCATTCTTTTTTCTGATGTACCTAAAGCATTTTTACAGTCAAAGGATATCTGAAGATACTGTACAATACCAAAACCTTCCCAGGTACAAATAGCCAATTATAATGCAACTGAAGGTTGAATAAATTATTTACTGACCCTGGAGGTAATAAAGTGATAGCCAAAGGTGGGGGGTTCATTACCTGTATCATTACCACAGCTCATATGACTCCCAGGTTAATGCCAGCAATTAGTTTGCTCAGATTGTCCATGAGAAATTTTCTGTATGAACCTAGCAAACTAAATTCTCATCACTTTGTTCCAGCTATCCAAGACAGAGACATAAACACTGTGAATGACCATATATCTATTGATTATGAGCTTGGACAGACTTAACACCCACACAATAATAAGACATATCCAAATAAGCATTAGGGTCCAAGACAGATCAAGCGTGCAGCAATTGTACCTATCAGCCTCATTAGCTAACCCTGACCATCCTTCATGCTTCACAGAAGTGCTTTCTGCATTTTAGAGTATCATTAATGGGGAAAAAACGTGTTTGGGATCTCAAGTTATTGCTCCTGTGTAATGTTTTTCTAATGTGTTTCTATGAGCATTGGAACTCATACATAATTTGGGTTGCCTTTCTAAGCCATCAGAATCACTCCTACACGGCACAATACGGTATCAAGTGTGGCTCATGCAAAATAAAAAGTGCAACAGAGAAATGCCTGGAGAAGTAAAAGCTTTATAACTTCCAAATACCTTTAGAAATAGCAGTTTTATAAACTTCCATTGGTTGTCTTTGTACAGCAGAGGATGACTTCCATTTAATCATGTTCCCATGAACTTACCAACATTAGAAAACCTTACAAGATGAGAAAAAGATGAGTACTTTCCTTTAATCCTTGTGTCTTGTTAACTGAGGAGCCACCAGGAGCAGAGGGCATTATTCCATGAGTTCATGAGCCTCCTTGGTAGTGAAAATGGAAAATTATGTCATAATTTATGAAGAGACAGCAATCACTTTTCTTTTTTAAATTCTAATTTTTGACACCTAGCTTTTCATCACAATTAAATAAGAAGCAAGCCTATAAAGAAAATTATACAAAATATTGTGAGTGAGGTATATTCAAATACTTTGTTTTTTTCTTTTAAGGATGTATTTATTAAAATGACAGAATCCTGCCATGTAGTACTCAGGATACTGTGCCCTGATATGTACAAAAGTAGCATACAGGGAGATTATTTTACTTTGTTGTTGTTATTGCTGTATGTATATTATTTATAACACACATATATAAAACACATACATTCATGTATGCATGCACATGTATGTGTGTGTATATATATATAGATACATATATATATATATATACCCAGATTTTTTTTTTTCACCAGAGCAATAAATTGAGCATATCTGTACCTTCCAGATCTCAGGCTACTGTTGCAGTTGCCAAGCTACAGATCACCAGAGTTCTCAACTTTCACTGTACCCATTCCAGCTCCTGCAAAACAATATACTGTAATGATGTGAAGGGGAACATTTTTCAACAACATTTCAGCTACCTTTAGCAGAATTGCTTCTGTATCTTTCTACATGTTGCCATAAAATAAGAGAACCTAAATACAATGGAAAGTGTTTTTCTGACATTACAAGGCTGTAAAGAGGACAGTGCAGCATTTAAGAATGATGCACTAAACCAGAAGTCCTACTATTATTTTAGGTATTATACATGAAAGTAACCCTCCTGGACTATCTCTGTTTGTAAAAATAAACCATTCTACTGCCTGCTTTCAACGTGTGATCCTGCCTTCATGCCTATTTGAAGGCATAATTTGGCAGGTTCTTTAAATTGAGATCCTAAGTGTCCATACTTTATGAGTGCTCTCCTCAAGAGCCAGCTGCAAAAGGAAGAGGAGAGAGAAACCTGTCAGTGAAAATAGAGTTATTGCTAAATCTGAGATACTCTGTGATATAAGTTACTGAAAAATGAAAACAATCTCGCAGAACATCATTGTGCAGGCCAAATGAGCCATGAGAGATTTGGTGGGTAAGGTAATACACCACTGTAATAACTCCAGCAGCTTAAGAACAACCTGTGAACTGAAAGTACACACCAGCTCCAGTAAACACAAAGTTTGAATGTCAGGAGAGGTCTAACCTGCAGTCCTTTGAAACAGGTGTTCTTCTAGTAAAAGTTTGATCTCCAATAGCAGACTTCAACTTTCAATACAGGACTGTTGCTGATGCTGAAAATACCCCCACTTTACATACATGTAGAAGTAAAAAAAGCATCCCAGTTTTCCCCTTTTATTGCTGCTCAATATCTTGCACTATCAAAATCATCAGGATGCTTTTTTCCTGAAAAAGATTCATTGCTGACTCATTATCTCTGCTAAATGTCTACCGCACATACACAGTAATAGAATTCAAATGTTAACTTAAATGGAAACAATAGCATGGATATGTACTGCCAACATCACCCCTCAAAAAAGTTATGTTTGAGAAAATTACTTGCAAAGAAACAACAGCACATTACTTGTTGGACAGTAAGGTGATGTTCACAGTCTGCTACTCTTACCCCAAGCATGGAAAAAAGTAAGAATAAAACATTTTCTAAAGCTCTGTTATAAATTAGGAGCTTCCAGACAGCTTAGAAGGTCTTGTTTGCAGGAACTCATCTCTCATAAAAGGCTTGTTGCAGCTCTAGGGAGGAGTAAAATAGCTACTGATGACATTCAAATCATGATCTGTCTTCTCAGTCATTAATTTTAAATATGATTCATACTCTATTATGCTGTGGAAACCAAAGAAATTATCCTTTATTGTGTCTAGCCATTTTTCATCACTATGTACTCATAATGACCAATTTTGCTCTTCCCTTCTGGAATGTGCTTGAAAATGTGCAAAAAATTAAACCCAGATATTTACATTTGCCTTTAATTCAGCTTCATAAGGATTTTCCAATGTAAATACATATTTATACAATATAAAAGAATTATTAGCATTCAAAATCTATAAACAACATTAGCCTTTAAATTGCTAAATATTAGGGTTCATAAATCAGAAGCAAGTCCAGGTCAAACCTCAGGGAACAAGCACTATTGAGCTTTTTCCTACTTAAACGCGAATACAGACAAAAATATACATTTGAATGACTGTCTAAATCTGTGTGCAGTTTAATAACCATTGAAGTTAATTCCAATAACTGGTGGGTTTGTAATATTCATACTCTGTTGCAATATCAATGGCATTTTTGTTCTTGGTTTGATTTGGTTATTTTTTGAAAAATAGTACATAGAAAGAGATTTTGGCTCACATTTTCGAAATTCCAACTGCAATTCCTTGTTTCAGCTACATGGCTTTGGACAAATAATTTACTCTGTGACTCAAAATCCCACATGTGAGCTGGAAGTTTTCATTATGCATTTCCATACAAAATAGATATGCTGCATAAAGCTGAGGCACCATTTCCCTCATGTTTAATAGAGAGGGGCATCCTCTGCATCCTCCTACTTTCACCCCAGTTGAGGCAAAGTTCTTCCTCCAAAGCCTGTGTGAGACATTACTCTGCTGGAACTCCCATTGATCTTTATTTCCAGGGGCACAGTAGTGGAATACTATTTTATACTATTCTATATATTTAATACTAGTGTGTCTCCCTCCTGCCCAGCTGCACATTCACTGAGGAGCTACAGCAGGGATGCACAGAGTTAACTCTCCATCACTGCAGAATTACTCCAATAAATGAGATAAGATCACTGAGCTAAGTCTCACAGCACACAGTCCAGTTTGATAAATATCTGATGGATTAGGATGGAGAACTAAAAAATATTTATTAGCAAGAGATACTTACTAAATAGTAGCACAGCATCACAGAACATGCTGAGTTGGAAAGGACCCACAAGGATCATTGAGTCCAACTCCTGGCCCTGCTCAGAACCATCCCCAAGAGTCACAACTTGTGCCCGAGAGCTTTGTCCAAACATTTTTGAGCTCTGGCAGGCTTGGGGCTGTGACCACTGCTCTGGGAGCCTGTAAGCAGGGCATGGCATCCAGCATCTGCAAAGACAATATGATTCCTTTATGTCTAGCATAAGAGTTCATCAGAGGTTGCTGGTTTATAACAAAAAACAAACTTAAAAAAAGCCTCATTGCTCTTAAAATAATATTGATGATTGCAGGACATAATAAAGCTTATAAGCTCCTAGATTTCTTTTTTCCCCAGAGTAAGGAGAATAAGGAATTACCTCTACCAGTGAGGGATAGTAAATGATATTATGCATCTCATACAACTTGTCAAATATGAAGCAAATCCCACACCTCCCACAAGTACGAGCTTCAAAGAGGAAAATTTCAGCTTAATCACTAAGATTCAATGTTAAATTAGGTTATTGATGGATTGCAAGTAAATATGAGATTTGAAGTGGGGAAGCCAGCGCTGAAATCCTGAAAGTGCTTCAAGAAAAGAGGGATGTATTGAAGTGTGGGGTGTCTGTGACAAGGTGTTGGCAACAAGAGGTCAGCAGGGGTGACACCTGTGAGAGAGGTCCAGGAGCTGCCCTGTCCTGAACACAGCCAAAGCCACAATAGATGTGCCACAGGACATCAACAAAACGGGTGTCACTGCTGGGAAAACATAGTTCAGGAAAGGGAGAAAATGCTGGTCAGGGAGAAAAGGGACCAAAACCAGTGTGAGAAACAGCCCTGTAAGCACCGAGGTAAGAGGAGGAGGAAGAGGAGCTGCTCCAGATGCTGAAGCAGCCTGTGGAGCAGAAAATCCCAGTGCAGCCATGAAGGGACCTGTGGTGGAGCAGAGAGATGTGACTTGGAGCAATTGTGACCTGAAGAAAGTGGATTTTTCCTTGAGGTTTATCCCCAGGGACTGGGGCCTGTGGGAAGGACCTGGGGAAAACTGTGAGGAGTGGCAGAGAGGAGTGATTATGGAGGGGCCACAACCTCCATTCCCAATCCCGCAACCTTGGAAAATCTACATAAATTCTAAGTGTGAAAAATGCACAGATACAGCATTCATCCAAAGAGTGACATCTATAGGATCAGGTAACGGAGCTCATGAAAAAAGGCAGGACTTCTTAGAGTCATTATAAATGTAATTTAATTAGCCTTCTCTCTATTCAGCATTTTCAAAATGTATTTGGCAAGATCCCTCTTTGGCAATTAAGTGATTCTAAGACATTAATTGTTTCAAAGTTTCATTGCCAAGAGAAAGAGATAATAAAACATGACAAAGGAGATGTTCTTGAGAGAAAGATATTGGTGGAACTGTAGAAAAGGCAGAAGTAGTGACAATATGGCATTTGGCATAATTTTTTAATTGCTGCTTTATGTTCAAAATTACTCAATAAAGCAAGTTGTTTTATTATTCAGTTTAAATTTTGCCATTACTTCGCAAATGATGGATTCTGTTGTTTAACCATTATACCATTTATTTTGAGAAATGGAAAACAAGCTACTAAAATAGCTTGAAATGCTGAAATTTTGAAACAAAACTAAGTTACAACTTCATTCCAAGAATGTTTCCATGCTATTGAGATTTTTCTCCTTGATTTTCCTTCTGTGTACATATTTTTTCCATCACAGATCTACTTAAATTCAATGCTGTGGCCTATCATTAAAGCTTAAGTATGCTTAGGTAATTACAGTTGTGAAAATAACTTTAGGAACAGAAGGCTACTGTGTGAGGCTGCATGGTTTGTTAGAAAATAAGAATCGGGAGCAAAGAATTAGTTTGGGATAGTCTGCAGTACCAAAGGCAGCATCCTGATAGCTGGAAGTGCATTAATGACTGTAAGAAGCAACCAGAAATACAGAGGAGAGCAGAAATGAACAACCAACATAACTTCAGCAAAGTTAAACAGGCAATTCAACAGAAAAGCTGAGTTTTGTTCAGCTTCCTCTGCATTATTATAATTTACACTCATTTATATCAGAAGACAACTAATCCATACTGCATTTTCCTAATGGAAATGCAAAGGCATCAAATATTGGCCACCTGATAAAGCAAAAGAAAGGTAAACTCATAAAATTTTCTGACAAGTGTTTTCATGAGTTTACATAATGCAAGCCAGTCACAATGATTATTTTCCATATAAAATTTTTACTTAGCCTTGCCACATTCCTCAGAATTTTGCTTAAAAAAATGCATGTTTGCAGAATTTTAAGGAAAATATCAAAGTTGTTGCTGAATTTGTCTTGAATAAACAATCCAGATCCTCACCTGAAATTGTTCCCATTTGTGGCATTCACATTCTCTGGACAGAGAGACATAATTCTGTCTCTCAGGAGAAGCACAGAGAGAGGAAGAGAAAACAATCTTTGTCTCTGCTCCTTTGTTTTCTCCATGTGAAATGTGGTATGGAGATTGTTTACCTGAAGTGATGGCTGGGTTGGATTCTGGTGATGGTTGTTTGAGCTCAATGACCAGTTTGGATCCAGCTGTGTCTCAGATTCTCAGCAGAGTCATGAGTTGTTAGTTAATAGTTAGTTGTTAAGTAAGTAAGAAGTATGTAGGTAGAATAGGATAATCTCTCTTTAAATAATATATTAAAGTTATATAGTATAGTTTTAATAAATCTATCCTTTAGCCTTCTGATCCAGAGCCAGACATCATCATTTCTTCCCTGAGTTGGGGTGCCCTTTTTTACTATACCCATTTTGACCTCTGACCTGTCAGAGAATAATTAATAATCAGACAAGCAATCTGTGCTGCCTAAATAATTGGTTGGAATATAAAAGTTTCTCAATTTGTTCTTGTGTTGTGACATCTAACTTGCTTAAAGTGAAAAATCTTGACCACCCCTGGACATTTTGTGCAGTAAATCAATTAAAACTCTACTAGAACAAGCTACAACCTGTAGAAACAAGACAATTTAAGTGCTGAATAAAATTTCTGAACTGGAAAACAATATGAAAAGTTTGTATATCTGTTCTCATAATTCTTTCAAGGAGGTAGATTTCAGATTGCAAAGTGACCAATGTATGTATAGACACTTTCCCCTCACCTGTTTTTAATCTTGTCTCAAATTCAGTGATAGAATTGAAAGGAGCACTGAGGCAACACATCATGAACCAATACAAGAAATTTAATTTCCTAAAGATATTTCAGCATGCCTGAACAACAAAACAGTGATTTAATTATAACACCTATGACCATTAAGATATTTAGGTTACAGACATTTCCTGTGATTCTTTACAAAGCTTTAAACAATCTAAATTTAGTAATCTCAGTTTATTATTCTCTGTAGTCTAAATAATTACTTTTTTGAAAAAAACTGAGATGACTGATGCTAAGAAATTAAAATTAATTATGTAGAAGTGAATGTATGATGCACTTCAGCTATTGAAATTGCCTTAGTATTGTTAGCAGTTAAAAACCACTTCTCTCAAGTGCTCAACATATATTTCCAGAATTATTTTGGGCTAAATAAATAAAATTTAGTTAAAAATAATGCTGAAATTTTTCTGTGAAGCAGGTCAGGAAAAGATATTTGGGTAGTCATTTACTAAGTGTAAACTAGGATTCTGTCAGATTAGAAGGCCACATGCTGCAAAAATGTTGATGTACATAACTTGACATAAATGGGGACCCAAATCCCAGGAAAGACAGCCACAGCCACATTTCGCACAGATTCACTTTCAGTAGATTATATAAGAAAAACAGAGCACAGAATATGTATATGCAATATACTAAAGAAACCTATTGTAAGTTTCTTGCATTTTATTCTTTCCTTTTATACCGATCTTCAATAATGACCACTTTTGAAATAATATTTAATTTATACAACGTCATTAAAACCATTCCACCAATTTGAAATGGTTTTGGATAAAACTTGTAAGGTAACACTATTTCAACCTTGAACTGGCCCTGCTTCTGTTCATTGCATAGTCAGCTTTGGCCTAATCCTATCTACTTTTGCATTAGTGAAAGTCTATCTCTGTCAACAAGGCAAAAGCAGAGCTTTAGTGCTTTTGCTTTACATGCCTTACTACCAAAAAAAACCCCTCCAAACAAAACTAAAACACAAACATATCAAAAATCAAACAACAAAAACACCCAAATAAAGAAGCTGTCAAATTCTCTGTACCTAGGCTATTTCTCTTGCTTTTATTACTGGGTAGTGGAAATCCTTTAAATTGCTAAAATGTTTTTTCTCAGTGAAAAAATTATATACAATCTTGGAAAAAAAAAATCCCATGAGTAATATGAGGGGAAAATGAACCCTCTCTTTTTTTTTTCTAAAGGGAAAAAATATGTTGCTGCAGTTGATGTTATTTGTAATTTATTTTAGCCCTTAGAAAAGGGCTTAAGCTGACTTCAAAACTCTTCTATACCTTGCATGCACTGAGGCCATATAGAATCTACCACAGTGGCTAAATGGAAGAAATTTCATGTGGGTTTTCATGCTTTGAGTAACTCTTGGGCTTCTTGAGAAGCAAGGCTCTTCTAGCCTGAGAAAAGAGAGTAGCCACACAAGAGCACACAACAGCTGGCAGCCCCATGGACATCAGATTGGGGAGAGGGGGATTCCCAGATTAAAAATACCATAATTAGGTAGTTTGCTGAGTGTTCACATTTACTGTACAAAAAATTAAGAAGTTTTTTTCTAAGCTATTGCTAAACATAAAAACATAGCACAGAATATGTATATGTATATGTATATGCATATTCTCTCCCTTTAACAGATTGTTGAAGGGTCACAGCATAAAGAAATTAAGATCAATCTGTTGGTTTCTAACAAGTTTCCTGCACACACTAAGAAAGAAGAGTCATTTTCTGTATATATTTGGGGTGTATAATTTGGCATTTTCTTAGCAGGCTACCCAATTTTAAAGGATATATCAGTTAAGCAAAATTTTGCTATTCATAAATGTATATTTTAACCCATCAAAAGGAGCCCTTATAAGTTTTGCTACATGACAGAGTCTAAAGAACTAAACTTTCTGGGTTTCATACGTGCCTGGCATATTTGCTGCTCTGTGTACTGCAGATCCTATGGATCACTGGATCAATCCCAATTCCCATGCTAGTCTATTACCTTCTG